GAGCTCGGACGGAAATTTTTATGATCTCTAGCCATACCGCGCACCTACACTGCCCTTATTACCTCCTGCGTAGCTAAAGCTATAGTTACTAAAGCTACTACTACTAAAGAAGAGTATACTACTACTAAGCGTAAGGCTATTATAGAGTGTGCAGTAGCTAAGCATATAGCTACTACTACTATAGTTAAGATTATAAAGCTAAGAAAGGGCGCTCCTACTCTAGCTCCTACTACTCTAGCTCTAACTCCCGCTCCTGCTTCTCCCTAGACCCCTCCCTCTATCCCTACTCCTACTCCTACTCCCTCTCTAGCTCCTAAGGAGACCCTAAGATCCTCCTATTATAGAGAGCCTAGTATTTATTATACTAAAACTTATCTAAATTATTTACGCTCTACGCTCTTTAATAAGTCTAATAGTAAGTGCTATAACTCTTCTAGTAAGGGGACTTAGTACTAGTAGTACTTCTCTAGGTATAGCTATATCCTAATATATATAATCTATATAAGAATTTTTTCTTTATAATACTTAGTAAGATCTATACTAATAAACTAATAGCCCTAAGCTTACCTAATACTCTATACTATCCTTCCTAGTAAGGAAGTAGGTAGGTAAGAGCTAAGACCTTCTTAAGGATAAGAAGAGGAGGGTCTTAGTGCTCCTTAAGAAGAGTAAGGCTAAGTAGTAGGAGCTAGTAAAAGCTACTACTACTACTACTAAGCTTACGCGTAAGGCTACTTCTATAGCTAAGGGTGCCTAGAGCTCCTTATTAGAAGATAAGGACTCTAGCTCCTCTAAGGTTCCCCCTATAGATCCTAGGATAGGGCAACCTAGGTAGCTCCCTATAGACTCTAAGGCACGCTTTACGCGCGTAATAGAGCTCCTTAGGGAAGCTACCTAGTTAATAATAGAGAGGTAGGCTATAGTTAGTTATTCTTATATTATATATTAATAGATCTTATATACTACCTTACTTTAATTAATATTATATAATATATACTTTACTATTATATAACTTTAGGTGCTCTCTAAACCTTATAAATTATTATACTATTAGGTTTTTAGTAAGCCTATTAGCTAGTATATTACTAGTAGGTAGGTAGGTAATATAGAAAGATCCCTTTATATACTCTTACCTAAGCTATATGTTTTAAATATCCACATAGCGTAGCTTAGTAGTAATCCTTTTATTATTGCCTACTACTAACCTAATAGTTTGTTAATTATTATAATTAATTATCTAGGTAGTATCTAAAGTAAGGTGTATTTTAGTTAAAAAGCGTTTTAACGCTATTACTTCTTTGCTTACTTGCTTAAGCGCAAGGAGCTCTACCTTAGTAGTTAAAGTAGTAATAGATAATTATTAAGCTACCTTCTAAATAATAGGTCCTCTAAAGAGCGTAATTAGGTATCTATATAATAATTGCTAAGTTTTAATATTATTAGCAAATAACGTATTACTATATATTATAAGCTTATTAGGATCCCTATTCCTATATTAGATTAATTAGTATTAAGTTTAGTATAGATAGACAATTACTTAATTAACTATATTAAAGTGTTATTTAGATAGGTTAGTAAGGTATTAGGAGAGCTAGGAGGCTATATAAGTAATATTAGGGCGCACTATAATTAAGGTGTAAAGGATTAATCTAACGCGCTCCTAATAGTCCTTAATCTCCTTTTTAGTAGCTTCTCTAGTGCTCTTTTTAATATCTTTACTTAATAGTAGTATAGTAGGGAATTTTCCTATCTCTACTAGATTAAATTTCTTTGTAATCTTGTTAATATATTTATTATAAACAAGCGTTATTATCTATCTCTTTCTATCCTAGATTACTCTTACCCCTAGAAACTAGCTTATAGGTCCCTTCTCTTCTATAGTATATCTTTGCTTTAGAGCTTAGATAACTTTGTAAGCTTAGCTTGCGTAGTTTTAGTAATAGAGCGATAGGATATTGTCTATATAGAATATTAACAAGATACTGCAATCTCTATTAAAGAATAGGCATAGCTCCTCTTTAGAAGTAATAAGCTTATTTTCTTAGAGTGTAGTTAAGAGCTTATTATACTATAATAATAGTAAGTCTTTTAATCTATATAGAGCTTGTTTAAGCTTAATGCACTTCCTAGGTATTTAATATCCTTTAGGTAGCTTATAGATAACTATAGGGTATTAATCCCTTAAGGCGTTAAGGAAAGCTCTAACAACGTTATATTAATATATCTTAAGGTTAAACTTAGCTCTAATAGCTATTATAGTCCTAAAGGTTTAAGCTACTAGAGTAGCTGCGTAGGTTAAATAAATTAAGTTAGTAAGCTATAGATCTCCTCTTACTACTATCCTTGCTTTGCACTTAATTAGGTAACTATCCTAATTAAGCTTGTATGTAAACACCTATTTAAGTAGGAGTAGATACTCTCCTATATTTAGCCTATTAATCTCCTCCTAGGTACTAGCTTTTAGTAGAGTATTAATTTCTTTATATACTACGTCTCTAAATTGCTATCCTATTTAGTGGTTATAGAGATCCTTCTATTATTTTAGCTCTTTTTATAGAGCGTCCTAGTGCGTATTTCTTTTAGGGTTTTTAGGAGATTTGCTCCCTATTACTACTATAATTATAGCGTAGATTATAGTGTTTAGTTTAGGATATACTAAAAGATTGTGCAAGGGATTTCTAATTAGATCTATATCTAATAGATCTATTACTATATATATCCCTGCACTTATAGAGCCTCCTAGTAGTTTATTAAGGTCCTGTCCTTAAGCTTGCTTACTAATACGCGTTAGTAGTAGTCCTTTAACTTATAGTTTTCTACTTCTTCTAGGAGCTCTAGGTGCCGCTTGTAAGGGATCTGCAGGAGATACAGAATCTAGTCCTAAAGCAGGTAGGTAGGAGCTCTACTTACCACCCCTATAAGGGCTAGATAGGGTGCCCTTACCTATCTCTGTGCTCTTATAGAGTGACCTACTAATAGCACTCTCCCCTCTAGGTCTTTCCTAGGAGCTACCTATTATAGCGTTAAAGTAAGTTAGATTACTACTATCTTAGGTAGTAAGACCCTAATTTATAACCTGTATAGATCCTTTATTTCCTATACTAAAGTTTAGTTCTAGTATTAGTTTAGGAGTTTAGAGCCTTATTAGCTTAAGGGACTTTATATAGATCCTTTGTGCTAAGCTAGCTATGCTTAGTACCTACGCTAGAGGTGTCTACTTAGGGGGTTATAAATTACTAGGCTAGCTAGCCTAATTATCTACCTCCTCTAGCTCTACCCTACCCCCTAGCTCCTACGCTAGGTTTAGTCCTCCTTGCTTACTAGACTCCTTATATTGCTCTACTATAATACAAAGCTAATTAAAGATATTAAGCTCTTTATATGCTTCTCCTGTATTATAGATCTTATCTTTACTAATAATATTAACTATCTTTTAAGCCTCTAACTATTAAAGCTACTCTAGATCTTTCTCTTTGTAGAAAAGATCCTTATTAAAGGTAATATTCTGCGTTATAATAATTTAATTAAGTAAGGGGATCTATATCCTATATATATTAGATGCTCTGTATCCTACTAGATATCTAATATAACCCTAAGGGTTTAC